TGAAGCTGGACAGACTGGACCACTAATATGGCTCAGATAAAACCCCTCTGAGACCATGTTTCACAAGATTAAATACATGTACACACAGCATTCAAACACACACGGTTCATAGAAAATACACAGCTATTTTGCATATCTTGGCATTCACTTGTGCACACACACACACACACAGACATACAAATACAGCACAGCTTTATAAACACATCATTTCCTTTCTTAACAGAACAACAGTGCATGGTTCCTATTAGTGGTCTCCTCTCCCCGTACTCGGCCTGCGGTCTGCAGTTCCTACTCAGCCCCTAATGCCTGAGCTCTCACATGCTGTAAGGACAGACAAAGATGGCAGCGGAGGCAGCATTCCAAACTGTAACAACCAAACTATAACTCAGTGGAAAAAACACCAATTGGTCCATTAAAGAGACGAGGAGTAAACGGAAAATCCAGACGGTGATACATGGCCTGCAGAAAGTTTAACCACTCACTTCCACTGTAGTCATTTCAAATGAACTGAAGTGGATGCAGAGTAATGTGTACGACCAGTAAATGAATCAGTAAGACTTTTTACAAGTATCCTGATGATTGTTTAAAGGGAGTTCTTTCTTGTTCCGCAAATAAAGAACTGTGACACAGCCTATTGCCTTCAAACAATAGAGGCTTAATATAACTTTGCTCCCATCTTAAGCTCTTCCTCCTTGCTCCAAAGGTAAATAGATCTCCATGGTTACCTTTGGGTCCAGGTCCGGCGTTTTCTTCTGAAAGAGCATGTCCTAATGTGTGTGTGTTCAGTCAGGCTCCTCAACAACAACATGGAGGATGAGACGTTAACTGTGAACATGGTGCCTCGGCAAATCTCTCACCATAACTCCTTTTTCACAAACACATCTGTCTCAACCCTCCCATGAGAGAGAGAGAAAGAGAGAGAGAGGTTATAATTTTAGATGAGGCTTGATGTTCCTTATCTCATTCTTGAGTGCTCTGATGGGACACAGCTCCCCGTAGGGCTGAAGAGAAAACACAAATCATCATTTCAAGGACAACGCTTAACCCCGACATTTTCATTCTTACCAAAACGAAAACCACAAAGATCCTTTACTCACATCTGCAAAAACCAGGACTTCATTATATCAAAAGAATCAGGACTTGGTTCGATGTGAACTTAACTTTGGTCCACATTTCCTCATCTCTGTCATGGTGCTGTTCTGGTTCCCACCCCCCTTTTCAGTACAGCATTCCTCTCTCCTAGCCTAGCACTCTGGAGACTTGACAGACAGATTCCTGAAAACTCCCTACCGCTCTGTAAGGATGTCATTTTAATTTGCATTAAAACAAGCTTCAGGTCAATGTGATTCCACACCTTGATCAGACTGAATCTGTTTAAACATCACAGTTTTGTCCATAGTGAGATCAATGATCCAAATCTTGGTTCCCTTGTTTCCCTCCAAACCCATCACCACACTTGCTGCTACTATATATTCTTCCACCCTGTTTCCATGCTGCAATCAAGACGGTCAAAAGTGCAATCCTAAAGCGCTGAATGGAAATCCGGGTTGCAGGGTTAACAGGTCATCCTGCCGTGGATTCAGCCCAGTAATTGGCTCTGCATGTCTGATTAATGGTGGAAACTGCAGATGGACGCCATTTTCCTCAGTCAGACACTGGCTCCCACAGAACTTAATCACTCCCCTCTCTGTGAATGGATGAGATCAGCTAATGTATAAAAATTAAAGTGCTCCTATTTCTTGTCAATGCTTAACTTTCAGCCATAGATTTGCTGTGGCTGCCTCATGCATTGTTCCCTTAATTTCACAGAGGAAAAAATGTATTCACTGTTAATGTGACAGACAGTTTAAGTCATTCCACGCTTCTCACTGGGACTAAAAATAGTAGTGGGGCGTAGAATGATTGAACCTTTAGATAGAGCTCTTGGCCGAGTCTGCAGCCATTACTTTAGTTATAAACTCTCCTTTCATCCTCTTGCAGCACTGCAAAAAAACAACCAAAGGTTAAACTGTACACGCTACTGATGACTGGATTCTTCCCTTGCAAGTCAAAGGTAGTGTGTTTGTGAGTGAGACACAAAGTTACTAATTAGCTCACCTGCTGTCGCACTCCTTCAGCTCCTTTATTTACACAAGCTGTGAAAGAACAAAGCAGCTTGGAAAAAGAGCATTGTTGTGTGTGTATACAACATCTACAGACGTGTCAAACAGGCAAGAGGTGACTGTGACATCGGTGATGCAGCCCCTGCTGCATCTGCAGCTATTTTTCATACAAAATTGTAAACATCTGATCTGTTATAGGTTAAGGTCACTGAGTTCTGTCAGTCATTTACTCAAACATAGACTGAGGCAGTGGTTCTCAATTATTTTCTGTCATGCCCCCCCTTGAGGACAGAAATGTTTTCACGACCCCCCCCCCCCCGTCTCCTCTGACCCACACCCCTGCAAATTGAAATACTATTGAGACCCTGATAACAAGTATAATTTTATCTGTACAAAACACTGTATGAGTTGCTGCCACCTAGTGACTGGAGGCTTGTTATCATTCAAGCATTACAGCAGTGGTACACTTATGTCCAGCGTGCCATATTCCACTGGAAGCCCCTCACGCCCCCACCGGCTCCTCACTGCGCCCCCCCTGGGGGTTCTGCCGCATTATTGGAAAAGTACTGGACTGAGGTGTCATTCATTCATATTATTACAGGTATTTTACAACATGAATCCATTTTAAAGTGTGTTTACCCAAAAATCATAGTACATTGGCTTTCATCACTCGCAACATCCACCTGCACAACAGTCGGTTGGGTTTGAACAGATATACCGTGCAGGAGCAAGTGTCAAAGACCAGCCCCATGTCCAACTCATTCCTCAGCTCCTGAAGCAAGAATGTGCACCATGCAACATTCTTCAGGCCAGAAACAAACAATGGAGGCACTCAGACTCTGCGTGAGTTTGTCAAGTTTTTTGGCTGCAAAAACACGTGAGATTTGAGCCACAGTTAACGTGACTAATGACACAGAATAATGTGACTGCTAGAAAGATAATACTCCCTACAACCCCTCTACAATGACTCTCAGAGATACAGTAGCAAATCCTAACAAATTAGCCCATCTTGAACTGCATTTAAATTCATCTTTTGGGCGAAAGGCATGATTTTATCATCTGCAGGTTTAGTTTCACTTTGTGTAAGCAGAGTTAATCTGGAAACAAATAAAGACATGTAGGATAAGGCAGGAAAAGTTAGGTGCTTCTCATTTTCTCTATGAGAAGTCGTTGACCTCCAACTAGGGTGTGATCACACTTGTCAAACAAACCCTGACGTTGTCACTCTCGTACTGCATTTCCTTTGTGATGTTTTGAGGCTACCATCCGCACCTCTGTGCACACAAACCAAACAGACTGACTGTTTTCAAAGGTTGCTTTCCAAAAGAACGTGTGAAGTCAGTGTATTTGTCCACAACAACAAGGATTAAATGCAGCTGTATGTAGTATCCTATACGTGCCGGAAGACCTCCAGAATGTGATGTTACCAGAAGGCAAAAAGGGGGTCGGATGTTTTTGTGGGGTTTCTGTGATGACTCCATTGAGGGGAATGTACAGATGGTCAGAAGGCGACACACGCTCTGACTCATCCCTCCCAACTAGCTCGCACAACTTCTGCGGAAACCCTGTGCTTACGATGGAAGTCGTCACAAATGTCCAACTCTACTGGTCTAAGCCAATAGGGAAGCGGCTGGAGGTGACGTTCAGGTGTCTTTTACCTGCCTCTCAGTCTGAGTGAGCTGGATACTCAATCTGCTGTGTCCAGACATGATGTTTCAAAACCCTGCCATGTCTTTTTCTGACCGTACAGCAGATATGGCAAACTACCCAGAAGGAGTGAACAGGTGCAGACACGGTCAGTATACCCTTCTCAAATGTGTATACTGTATATTTTGTGTATTCCATGCACAATATGTACTGTATGTCCTAAATGTACATTGCATTTTCATGTGAGCCGTATGAGGCAGTAAGTACAGTGTATTTGTTCTCATACTGAACATTCTAGAGCGTGATACGTTGTCTGCAGTAGTAATGTGCGTGTGTCAGATTGGTGCTGGCAACATGGTGAGGTGAGAAGGGTAAGACCCGAGTGCATGGCCTGGTTTTCCTGGCACAGAGATGAGTCATGACAGCTGCAGGACTGTCTGCTGCTCCTCGTCTGCTGGACTGCACCGGGTCAGGAACAAACTCCACGTTACAGTCATGGTAATAAGCAGCAAGTCTTATTGTTGATATGTACAGACGCAGAGCTCCAGATAAAAACTACGTAAAACTGCAAGGAATGTTTTGACCTGATGTTCCTGAACTAGATTCATATAAACATATAAACGTTTTAATGGCACACTAAACTCATGAACCAAGGCAGTTTATGTGCTGTATTAGAGCCTCCCTTATGGAAGAAAAGGAGAACTACAGTCCATAATGTCTTTTTACAAAATGTATCCAAAATGCCTGAATTCCCGGCTTTCACACACACACACACATTTCATATACGCTCAAACATATACACCTATCTGTCTGCAACAATTGTGCTACACAATAAAATGTTCATTTGACAGAAATACACAAAAACACATTACGTAGAAGCAATGGAGCACACATAACAAATTGGGGCACTCATTCATGAAGGACAGGACTGGGATTGACGTAAATAACTAACAGGAGGCATTAGCACATTTTTGTGCCAAAGAGGAAAAAAGCCCCACATAGATTTCATGTATATTATTATCTTCTGCAGTAATCACAAGTGAAAGTTACTTGGTCAGTGACAGAGGCTTAGCTTCATCAGAGCATCGTGACAGATGGAAGTGAGCAGCTTGTGGGAACGTGAAGCCCTTTCAGCTGAACTCCTGCTGTGATGTGTTTGTGAGGAGCAGGTACGGCTCCATTTTAATCTGTGTGAATGGGGCAGTTTTGTTTGAGATTTATAGACGTGAACACATTAGCAGAAAAGCACAGACAGACTCGAACTAGGGGACAGTCTTTAAAACACGAAAAGACTGTTGTTAATGTAGACAAAAGTTGACATAGAAACCCAATGAGAAAAAAGAAATTTTACTTTTCAATCGGAAAATAAAAACACACAGGCTCCACGTCCGTGTGCTTTTCTAGAATTTTCTCTCTTTGTGTTTTGTTTAAAAATTAGAGGCAGCACAGTACCTCTGAGACAAGTGATTCTTTTTGTCTCGTTTTTACTGTCATTTTATGCCAGACCAATATGCTGAGGTGGAGAGAGGAGGGTTAGCTAAGCAACATGTGATGGACTAGGTTAGTACCTGCCAGAGAAGGGGAGTGGACCTTGGCACAGGGGAGCAGGGGAAGGGCAGAAGCCTCTGTGGAGGGCCTGGGGCACCTTGCTGTCCCCAGGTTTGTGGATGACACTGTAAATAGGTTCAGCCCTGCTGTGGGATTACAGGAATCACAGTGAACGAGGACAAGTGCAGGACACAAAAGAAAGCGCACATACCAACAAAGAGGCCACAAATGAACATAACACAACAAAACGTGAAGACAGCTTGGACAGAGACGATGCAGGGCCACAGAACTAACACTCATTCAGTAACACATTCACTCCACATTCACAAAGACATGTGTAAGCGCCTCAGGGTAGAATCCAGCCCTCGCTTCAGAGCTGAGAGTTAACAACACCCAAGGCCTCATGGGTTATTTCAATCAAGCTCCTGTGAATGCTGCTACTTGAATCAGGGGTCAAAGGTTAAACCACAGTTATAACATGTACTAAAAGTGACATGAGGCCTCTCTCAGCACACAGCCACCACACACTGTCCAGCTTGTTGTTGTTTGCACCACAACACCTCTGATGAGATGAAATGAGAGTGAACTTCATCGGCTTTATATAATACTAATGTGCAAATAAAAAGTTTGTAACATGTGTGTGTTCATATGCAAAACCAAAAAGAACGACAAACCTAAAAGAAAAACCGATGCCATTCAAAAGAACATATCAAGCCTCAAGAACTAACACTATACTAGTAAAAAAAAAGCTGACTTTAGTTAAAAAAAATTGTATGTTTTTGATGTGTGAGCAGAAAACCATGATACAGCAGCTGCTAAATAACCTACCTTGTGAAGTCTTCTTCTCCGAGCATGTGGCGTGGAACCGGCGAGTACCTGGACGGGGTAACCTGGGGTGGAGGGTAAACGGGCTTAGGCTCCATTGGCCCCATGTAGTTATGGCAGACGTGGTTATCTACCGAGGTGGGGAAGGCTGGAGGGAGGGCCAGACCAGTAGGGGGAAAGAAAGAATGATTACAACACAAACACATGAGCGAACTCTTCACCATGCTACTACATAATAATTTTTAAGACCAACTGGGAGTCAGGATGGGGTTTTTAACAAGGTTTTTTGACTAAGTTGAGGGGTGTGGCGATGTTGCAGAGGAGCTGTGATTTATTTAAATATCTCAATGTTAGAAGTACAGTGTTATAAATAGTAATTTGGGCTAAGTGACTCTCATTTTTTAAAAGTCGTAATCCTTATAATATAATGATCAAAAATTTAAATCTTCTCAGAGAAAGAAATTCACCCATGCAGCAAGTGAGAAGTTTTCATTTGGCTTTCTTTGTCATCTTTACATTCAAATACCTAAACTGAGATGCTACCATTTAGAGAGAGCTTTAACATGTTACTTTAATATGAGGTGACTGTTTTGTGTAAATATGAGATGCTGCAGCTCAGGATCGTGGGCTCTCATGAGCAGGTGGGATGTGAGAAACCTTCCACACTCAGTAGGAGGCAGAGAACTGTGCTTCGTGTTGCTGTGAGAAGCTTTTCTGTTTGTGTGTGTGTTAGTGTGTGTAGTCACTGCATTTACTGCGTGGGTGTCTTTGCATGGCTGTTTGGGGGAGAGATACAAAGATCCAACACAGATCCAACACAAAGGAATCAAAGATGCCAGCTGAATTTTGTCTGCTAAACATTAAGATTCTTGAATTAAAAAAAATGCACCTTTTACTTAAAGTACAACAGTTTACATAAGAAAACCTGTCTAAGCTTTGGTCTTTGCCTAACAAAAGGGGTTCTTTAAGACAGGAAGTGTCAACAGGAAGAGGGAGCTATAGATACGTACTGCTGGAATAGTCTGGAGGCGCGTACATGTCGTTGAGATGCACAGGGCCTGGCTTGGCCACCTTGAGGTAAACCATATCAGAAGTGTTCTTCAGGGCAGCCACCGCCTCCTCGTGACGCACATCCTGCAGAACAATGTTGTTCACCTGACGAAGACAGAGAGGAGGCAAAAAGTCAGCGCAGCATCACCTGATTACCTCGTGTCTCTGAAGCACTGTGACAACATCATGCATCGCACCAGCCAACACAGTAATGAATCACAGCTCCGAGGTATAAGAGGAATGTTTTGGCACTTGTATAGCAGAGAGAAAGGTCGGTGTTTGTGTGCGCTCGGCAGCGTTAACGAGGATCAATAGCAGTAGGTAGAAGTGTTAAATATAATCTGAATTATTTTTGCTCGTCTTCACTGCCTGTTCCCCTGGAATTATGCTGTCAGTCAAAAGTTTTCGAACACCCCATATTTTGGCAGTTTTGGCTGCGCTGAGGCAATAGGACCACTGCACCTTCACAGTAAGAAGAAAGTAACAGGTACAACATGTTACATTCCAACAAATATTGTCAGGAGAATTAATAAATTGCACTGATGTACTTACAGTAGGAAATTGGTAAAAATACTGTAAAGCAGTTTAAAAGCCCCCCACTGTCATACAGAGGTGATGGGCCGTATTTGATTGGCCCACACCATGGGACACTAAATTATTGATCAATGCTTAAATATTAACATGCACTTCAAAGTTTCGCTTAGCTTCAAGAGGTAGAGTTGCCGAGAAAATAATGCAGTCACTGAACATGTCTAATAAATCTACATGTTGTGTACATCCAGCTCTACTTGGCAACAGTTGTAAGAAATCAGCCCTAACAACTTTTGTAAAGTTGCCAGATGATGAAATTAATTTTGATGTGAATCCCTAACATGCAACGTAGAATTCGGTTCAGGTTCATACAGCGAGCAGTCTGTCTCCGGTCTGCAGCCGTCCGTCTTTCTGTGCAGCTCCTCCTTCTATGATCTTGGTGATATAAATGCTGTTGTCTCCTGGGATGTGTTGGTTTCCAATTCCTCCAGCGATGCTGAATCCTAGCCCTGTTTGAGTAAAAACAGAGTCAGATGTGACAGTGGAGTTGTGTTTTAGGCCTAGCTCTTTGTAACTCACACCTTCAACATTTAAGGTCATTTAGCAATTTGATGGTATTAATTGATTTTTTTCCAACAGGGGAGTTAAACTTGGCATAACTTGAATATACATCATGCAGTCTCCCAAACAATTCTGACAGCAATCTCTGCTATGATGAATTAGGAGTTGCCTCCCTGACCTTTGGGACCTTTAAGCAGGTTGACTTCCAGGATTGTCTCAGGTGGGGCTTGTCTTCGTCGAACCAGCAGCCGCACCACTGGCCCCGCCTCCTTCAGGGCCTCCACCGCCCGGCTGTGAACCACCTCGGACACGTCCACATCATTCACACGCAGCACACAGTCATTAACGCTGCGAAGATAAAGGAAGATTTGAAACTTTTTTAATTTATATACAGAATGTATCGCCCCACAAGGCAGGATGACAACAAAAGGACAAAAACAAAACACTGAAAAAAACAGGAAGAAACCTGAGCAGGGCCACCGTTTCCAAAAGCGCCACAAAGCACATAAAAAAAGTACACTTTAAAATAATTTTTGCATGTTTGAGGCTTTGTTTTGTTCCCACTGAATCATAACTTAGAGGAAGCACACAGAGCCAGGGGGCAAGGCTACAGAAACTCTACCACCCACACAGTGGTGCCTGATGGGACACAGTGGTAAAAAGCTTTTGAGAAGAGAGAAGATGTAAGAGGAACAAACACAGCACAGATGAAATGAAAGGGCTTGAAAAAAGATAGCTAGAAAAGGCTGAGGTGTGTTAGTGGATGAAGGTAACATTGGAAAGGAACCTACCCCAGCCTTCCATCCATAGCAGCTGCTCCACCAGGGATAATCTTGGTGATGAATATTCCTGGATCATCAGGAATGTGGGGATTGTCTATTCCTCCTGCGATGCTGAAGCCTAGGCCAGAGTTTCCCTGTAGACCAGACATGATCAGCATTTCCAGTGGAGAAACAAACAACACAAACATAAGGAACATGAGATCAACACAGAAAGTACCAGTGGTTTTATCCAGCAATGTTATGAACAACTGTGACGCACGTGTTATTGCACTCTACAAGAACGATTCCTGCTATTCTTTTAATCTCTCACTTCATGTTTTATCACCCAGTGTTTGAGTCTTGTATGACCAGAAAAGTGCATTTATGGCCTGAGCTACTGAGGCCTCTCACTCTCATCTTGTTGTCTCTGCTTCAAGGAAGATGTTCGCGATGTTCCATTTAGATCCAGTGGCTGTGCACACTGCTGCATGTGACAGCCATGGCCGTAGAGACAGACATCCAACAAGACAGCTCCAAAAAGACCGCACTTTATTATTGTCTATAATTAATGAGTAACAGCCACACCGACGGAGGAAGGAGAGAGATGACGCTGTGCCTCAGCGCCAAATGTTAAACACCCACAGACATTTTAAAGTGTGACTCTGTAACAGTTTATTTGAGCCCTTTGCATGCAGCGCTGTCACTTCAAAGTGTTAGGGGCAGAAAGATGCTGTGCATTTATCATGTGTCTGCAGGTGCTTATACATGTATATGTGTAGGTGCAATAATGAGAGCAGATGCGGTATAGCTCTGCCACTACAAGCTGAAACACAGCTGACAAGTGTTTGCGCTGCCTATTCAACAATTGAGCAGGAGAGCCCTTTAACATCAGCGGCGTCTGCTGATGACATGTGAATTAGGATTATGTAAAACAAAACCTCACTGGTTTCAACACTGCAAAAGGTTGATTAAAATTGGACATTATTTAACAAGCAGAAGATTAAACACTAACTTTCAGCATTTGCAGAGATAAACATTAAGCCTAATTGTTTAACATAAACAATTTTTAACTAAAAATACCACATTACTTAAACATTTGTGCAAAATTTGAATGATACCTAAAAATATTCATTGTGATTTATTTTAAGTAGGTTAATTTTTTTAAAAAAGTATAAAAAACAGCTATCAATGCTAATTTAAAAAAAAAAGTATAAAAAACAGCTATCAATGCATAAGAAGATGCATTGAAAAGAATAAAAGATATTCAAATCCAATTTCATATTGTTTATCTTGAGGGACCACCATGGATCTGACCAGCATCTCTCTAATACAGCAGAAATGGAACACAAACTTTGTATTTACCATTCCACAAGGAATTGAATGCAAGTTAAGCATTAGTTAAAATAAAATTAGTTAAGCTAAAAAATGTGCACAAAAAGGAAGTGTCCTTGTTAGACTATATTGTATACATTTTAAGTTCCTTATCTGTGTAGAATTTACTGCCACCTAGTGGTAACAGCTCAATTGATGACACACTAAAGCAAAGCAGCATTTGATATTTTGAAGCTCACCCTCTCCAAAATGATCTCTTCATATTTGTACATCCCATCACTTCCATTTACCTGTCAGAACAGAGGAAAAACGATAGTTTAACAGCAGCTTGTATTGATGTGTTCCTGCTCAATTCAATACACCATAATCAGGACTGCAGCATTTAAAGACTGGATTAAAAAATATCCAGTTAAACCCAAGCATTAATGAATTAAAACTGACATTTTCTTTGTTGAAATGAATGTGAATTGTGACAGAGAACAAGAGCAGTGTCTTACATAAGGTCCTGCATCCAGTGAGTCTGCGTTGACGATGATGGGGGGAGGGTTGGCCTGTGAATATGAAGAGATACACATTATGTTAGTGTGTGTGTGTGAGGCTGCCAGCACACAGACGTAACTCTGTACACACACCATCACTCGGAGCAGAGTGAACACATGCCAGTGGGAGCAGTGAGTGAGTGAGTGATTCTCCTTGTTGTTTAAGGCAGTGGGGATATAGGGGAGTGGGGGAGAGACTGATGGGCTCCGGACGTTAGATAGGTGTGAGGACTGCGAATGAGGACTGAGGCTCAGAGACCGCCGCTTATTAACCGCCTCTGGCAGACGTCCGCAGTATCCTCATAAAACCAACCAGAGCCTGCTGCAGCTGAACAATACGCTAATCCCACATCAGCTCCTGCTAACACGTCCACCTCACACAGATGTAACACCATGTGGTGTATCCACTCAATCAGCAGGGTATACTACTGCATGACCCGTCAGCCGACATAAGAATATTTCCCCACAAACTCTAATATCATAAATTACTGAGGTCATTGTTTCTAAAACTGTTCGAATGGCACCATGGTCTGACGATGAAAACCAACCTGGACCAAGTACGCAAGTTTGTAAAACATCCTAACTGCTTCAAATAAAATATATTAAAGAGGCAACCAACCAGTGGGTAGCTCTCTTTATTACAATTAACATTTAATATAAGTGAATGATCAGCGTTGCTGTGCTATGACATTGAAAATCTACAACCCTCAGTTATTCGGAGCACTAGCTGCCCTTTTCTGTTATCTGCATGTGGACTTGCAGATGTGAACATCTGAGCTTTTTTTCTTCACTGCTCCATCTTTGATCCCAACTCCTACAAATGCCCTATAACCACGGAACAAAACAAAACAAGGAGAGAGTTTAATCGTGAAAGAATCATCTATAGCCCGGAGTCTACTGCAGCTGTATAAGTGACAGTCGATCCTGAGAGCAAAGCTTATGCAGGAAGAAATGTTGAAAACACAGCCTGAGGGAAACACAAGGGAATACATCAGCTAGTATCGGCCTTTGGTGACAGACTGAGCTACTGAAATCCAATACTGAGAACATGTGTAACAAAACACACCTGGTAAAATATAAGGTCATACGTGTAATATCACAGTGCCACAATACTGCCCAGTGATATCAGTGAACGCGTGCATGTGCAGATTGAACAGAGTGAAGCCAGCAGGACTATTATCCTGTTTTCACACTGATGCCTAATCTCTTTATCTGATTCTCACTTTGCTTCCAAACGAAAAGGAATATTAGACACTCATCTGAGTGTGTGTAATCTCTACACGAGTTTGTTTAAGCTAGCGATTTATCCAGTTCACTTGGACTAGATGGGATTATCGCTTCGTCCTTGGTGCTGTTTATTTTATTATTCCTGCTAATCTGCTGCACAGAAAAGGGCAAATGATTGAAGACGATAAGATCTGACCACTGCTAAACTTTCATGACACATAGTGAAGGCAGTGCCTGTCTGTGTTTTAATGGGCCCACAGAGGACGAGCAGGGGACAGTCACTTAGACTTATAGTGTCTGGATTTTCCTGCCATGGGAGGATCAATGTCACGCTGCGCAGTGAAGACAAAAGCAGTGGCTTATAGATTGATGTCAGTCAAGGAGAGGACGGGGAAGTCTGTCTGTGAGTCGCAGCAGGTGAATGTGGGTCAGACAACTTTATGTAATTCAATATGTGATGCGAGGAAAAAAAAGTGCAGATGTCGTCCTGAGCTAGGTCTGGAGAGAGAGATTTCAACAGCAAAACAAAACCTAGACGTGGTTTTAACACTGCATACTGTCCTCTGAAAGCCTGTCCTGTCTTACCAGTACTCAGTAATTAAAACTGCAAGCCTTTGTTTTACACAATGTCATAACAATGGATTTGATTCTGAATTAGCCCACAATTGGACTGCAGAGTTGGAAAATAAATAAGTATTTTACAAGAGCGATGATACATTTTAGAATTAGAAATTGCTGTGAAGCTGGTGTGTGTGTGTGTGTGTGTGTGTAATGGAATATGTGGCGTATAAATTGACCTTTCAGCTCAATGGGTGAGTTTTTTATTGGTGTGGTCACACTTTATGGATGGTATTTACATCTGTTTAAACACCAATTATTGTACATGCCAGAAGTTGACATTCTAAGCACTGGACACAGTAAACCTGACTGATATTCAATCGACTTAAAAATCAGGAAATTTAAGAAAAATCTGCAAAAAATCAAAAATCATACCAAAAAATGTTTACATGTGCAATGTTCATTCATTCTCTGAACTCAAAGCTGCCTCAGGGTGAATGTGGGATGCTGTACACTCTTGACAGCTGCCAGTGCATGAACTTCCTGCTGTACACATGCTAATATCACTCGTTCCTGTTGCCCAAGTGCAAGGTTTTCTCAAGATGTAACAATAACACACTAAAGTAAGCAGACCACGCCCCCTTGTGGGGCAGTGAGGAAATATATGGCCAGTAGGGACCCACAGACAGGATGGTCACAACGCCCTGTGATTCCACTCTTATATGACAATATAAGCAAATTACAAATATTAATATCTTTGAATTTATTTGTTAATTTAGTTGAATCCATTTTTGAGCCACCAAAATATTGGCTACCCTTAAGAAACAAGAGTTCAGGAAGTATTACATGCCAAATATGCCAAATATGGCAGAACAAAAACAGACCCATTAACAGACCCTTTATTCACAGTAACCTGGTTCACAGACCTCTGTTGTTCTTACTTCTTCTCACCTGCAATGCAGACTGCAGGAGCACAGAAGCTTTGGACCAAATGGAGGCAAGTCATTGTAGTGGAAAGCACTAAGCTCCTGGACAAACAATGACATGAGCCCAGACGGCTTTCTCAGTGTGAGATCATTACAGTCCACGCTGACCCCCAGGAGTGATGAAACTCACCAGCTACAGTCCTCTCTTTCTCTCACTCCCTCATCTTATTCACCCATCTGTTCATACTAGTTTTTATTCATCAGTCTGCCACCGTGCTCCTCTGTCTTTTGAGACCGTGGGTCTGTCTCTTGTCTGTCGGCATCACAGCAGACGTGTCTCATGTCTCTCTGGCGTTACACCACACAGACCTCCAGGACAGTAATGCAACAGAGACTCCCACTGAACCCTGCCAAGCGCACGGCACAGGCTCCATCCCAAACTGTTAAATAATCTATGTGTTCCCATGGCAACCGTTGCTCGCAGGGTATTGGTCGGCTGTCCTGTTTAGCCACCGCCCCCTGCTTCACCTCTTTGAGCACTCACTGCAGCTAACACGGCTTTGTGCCTGCACACGCTCTGGGCTGGATGTGGCTGACTGCCTTCTGTGTCTACTTATCACACAGACACAGACACACATGCTCGGACACATGAAGAAACACTGCTTTCAGGAGGAACTGTTTCTGTACGCTGGAAATGAAATGAGGCTCCTTCTCTCTATAATTGAAGTAAATGGCTGCCTTAATAGTTTTGGGTGTCAATTACTACGTCCACAGTCTTTAACAGAACATAAGGCCAGTTTTTGTAAATCGCAACCATTTGAGGAAAAACAAACTGCAAAACACAAAAAGGTTCGAATGTTTGGGTTACATTTCCCTGGCGTTATATGTGTATAACTGATCACTGACAAATAAACCCTTGAATCTTTGAGTTAAATTCAGAGGCAAAAACGTTGCTTCTTTTTGCATATGTTGGTGAGTGCATCTGTCTACAAGACAAGGGAAATAAAGAAAGAAAGTTAAGCCCGAAATTCTATTTTTATTTAGTCAAATTTTAAGAGAACCTCTAGCTGACAGGTAGAGAAGGATGTGAGAATATCACTCTGTTTAGCAAACATTCCCATATCACTTACTCCTCTGTCTAGGTTTGACAATTCTTTCTCCGGTGCTGAAACGTGACATCCATCCTCGGTCACATGATGCACCCAGTTTAAATGTGCAACTAATGCTGCAGCAAGCTCTGCTGGCAGCAAAGCCAGTGTGATTGGTAGAAAAGAGAACAAGACGTCCTGATGTTGTCTACAAATGTAACTTGATTTCATTTTCTGATGCCTTTGGCCATGCTGCATATATGTTCTCCTGCAGAATGCTGGATGAGAGACGCAGTCAGCGGTGCTGCTGTGATCCTCTGGCTCTCATTGGCCTCTGGTATGGGCCACGCTGCAGTCCAATCAATATCTACTCAATTACCATGCACCCAACATCTTATTCAAGCTGTGGCCCATGTGCTGGAAGGGAGAGGGAAGAGGAGAGGCAAGGTGAGGGAAGAAGTGACAGATGTAGCCACAGAGGATGAGCACATGACAACGACCAATCATATTCTACACCGCAGACACCATACAAACTCAGTGTTGTATTCCTTGTCTGGGACAAAAGTAGACTAACAAGACAAACAAAGAAAAATCTCACAGCACCAAAGGGCAACCACTCCTTCTGTCTTGCAACGACAGCAGCAGAATCCAGGAACTCACGTCAATGAGCCAGCCACGAGGACATTAATTAAGTTCCACCATAAAACCTCCTCGTTAAAGCTTAAAGTTTTTTGATTTGATGGTCATGATTGAGCCCTGTGACCATGCTGCCCTCACCTTCAGCAAACCCTACAAGCACACACCACAGACCAGGCCATAATTAATAGCTCGTCACAGCTGTCATCACTGCAGCCTGCTCGTCTTTATGTAATGTTACTACAGCAGGCTAAGGCTTACCTCTGTGTCATGCTGAGCACCTCCAAATGAGAGCAGGCTATTTTGACCTTCACAAATATAGAGAGGGAAAAAATGTGAGTAACAATATTGAAAGAGTAAAGGCCTCTGGCGTGTCTGGTACGAGTGATCAGGTATGTCTTTGATGTAGGAAAGAGCCCATTTTCACAAGTTATTATGATGATATTATGATAAATGACTGTAACAGGCAGCAGTACACTGAGTCTAATCCAATTATTAGTGTTTGTTTACATGCATACATGAGTTTGGTGTGATGTTCAATAGACTATGTATTGGAGTATATCCAAAATAATTACAT